GTTAGAACCCGTACAAAAAAAAAAAAACAAAAAGAAAAGAAAAGAAAAGAAAAGAAAAGAAAAGAAAAGAAAAGAAAAGAAAGAAAGAAAACTAGAGTTGAGTGGTAGAGCTGGGACCTATCGCTACCACATGCTTCTCCTGGGGGCAGGCAGCCTCCCTTCCTTTGGGGTGGGGGTGCTAGCAGAAGGTCAGGGGAGGCCGTGCTGCTCCCCAGTCCATGGTTCCATCCTAGGAGGGAGATTTCTAGGGAGGTGCTAGCCAGGAAGACAGCTGAGGGAGGCAGGCAGGCGAATGGAAGGAGGGACCCATGACGGGGCAGGGCGAGGAGAGGAAGCCCGGAAGTGGGTTGGAGGCAGAAAGCGCCAGAAGGGAAGGGTAGGTGGGAACCAGGGTTATAGATAGGGTGAAGCTGGGTGAAGTGGCACATGCTTATAGTCACAGCGCCTGGGAGGCTGAGGCAGGAGAACTGCACTTCGAGGTCAGTCTGGGCTACAGAGTGAGTTCAGGATAGCCTGACTGCATAATGGCATCCTGTCTCAAAAAGAACAACAAAAAGACTGAAGTCCAGCTGAGCCCAGTCTTCTGGGGAAAAGACTTCCACAAGTGTCAGCCACCAAGGCGCAAGCACACAGACATGCAGATGCCAACGCACCCCACCCTGACCAGGCTCACAGACGCACACAGATGCTGGGACATGCAGAGGAGCAGAAAGAGGCTCACCGTCACAGACAGATGGCCCCATCTGGTCAGGGTGTGGCTGGCCGTGGGCAGTCTTGTATGGCTGGACATGATGATTCATGGGGGAGGTCTGTGGGACACATTCTTACTGGGTGGCCTGGGAAACACTACTGTAGACCCAGGGACCTGAATCTCTGGGGCAAAGGACTCTTGGCACCTGGCTGGGCCTCCCCTAGACCCCAGTTCAGTTGAGGTCCACCAGCCTCCCCGGTTCAGTCTTATAGCCCCAAGCCCAGGAGCATGGTGGAGGTCTTCGCTCAGAGGGTGGAGTTACCTGATGGCCAGTTGGAGCATGATGCTGGAGCTCACCTCTGCAGGTGTTCCCTGCACACCTCTGACCTCCACGAGTCCCTGCCTGCCTAGCAGCTCCTGCTCTGGTTGGGCTGTGTCAGCTGCAGAGGCCCCGGCCTGGACAGGCAGGGCTGCCCAGTCATGGGAAATCAGAGCTCCTGTGTGGCTTTGTCCTTTCTGGTCCAGGATCTTAGAAGACTGAGAAATGCTTTGGAGTCTCCCCAGGGGGACACAGCTACCTGCTCACCCAGTGCAGGATGTTCACAAGGCTCTGGGTTTTGAACTCCTGGTGTAGATAGTTTAGGAACGGGGCTCATGCAGGACATCTTCCTGGGAGCAGGGGGCCAGGCCAGTGCCACTGAGGCTGTGAAAGGCATCCTGCCTTGGGGGAAAGCAGGGATTCAGACCTTCAGCTGGAGCACCCTTAATCCTTTCCTCTAAACTCCTTCCAGCCAAATGTGTGTTTGGCCAGGCTGAGCTGCCTGGGCCCCTCACCACCAGCCCGTCTCCCACCCATTCCCTGCCCTTTGAGATTTGGCCCCTTCTGCTCTCTCCTGCTCCCCTGGCTTCTGTGCATCCCCTGCCCCTGCCCTCCTGTAGCCCTGCTCTGCCCTCCTACCCGGGCTCATCCAGGCTTTTGTTCTTTGAGGTGTGCCCGGCTGGGGCAGGGACCCTGGAGCCTGGCGCCCCAGGCAGCTGCTACCTGGACGCCGGGCTGCGGCGGCGCCTGCGGGAAGAGTGGGGTGTGAGCTGCTGGACCCTGCTGCAGGCCCCCGGAGAGGCCGTGCTCGTGCCTGCAGGGGCGCCCCACCAGGTGCTTTCCCAGCGGGGAGGCTCTGTGGAGAGATGGGGGTATCAGCAACAAGATCCCCCCTGGGTCCGGCAGCCTCTCTCTGTGCCTGAGAGTTAGCAGGGCCCACTGTGGGAAAGAGGAGATGGAGAGGCTGAGGGGCCTTGAAGTCAGAGATCTGGTCTGGCTTCCCGGGCGCTGATGGAGGGCTGTCCTTCTGGCACCCCATTGGCCTGGTATTGGCTGGGCCCCTACGGAGTGCTTGGTGTTGTATCCAGGGTCTCTGCTCTCTGGGAGTGGGTGAGGTTCATCAGAGTCCTGGGCACAGCACTGAAGTGGCCTCCCTGTGTGGCATCAGCTGAGGATTCCAGAGTAGCGCTCTGGGACCAGAGGGACAGGGAGACGTGCGACCTTGGACCTCTCATGACCCTCCTGCCCACCTCCATCTTGGCACAGGTGCAAGGCCTGGTGAGCACAATCAGCGTCACCCAGTACTTCCTGTCACCTGAGACCTCTGCCCTCTCCACTCAGCTCTGCCACCAGGGACTCAGCCTAACCCCTGACTGCCGCCTGCTTTATGCCCAAGTGAGTGATGCTGGCCAGCAGGCTGGGTGTGCTGTCCAAGTACCTCTGGACACAACTTCAGTGGGCAGGGCAGATTCAGCTCTGTCCCAAACAGACATTCAACCTGCTGGCATACAGGAAGGAAGGGTGTCCCTGGACATGGGGTGCCACGGACCTTGCATTGTGATCGAAAGCTCTTTTCCTCTTTTTTCTTAGGTGGACTGGGCTATGTTCCAAGCAGTGAAGGTGGCCGTGGGAACATTACAAGAGGCTAAATAGGGGATTGTCGGTGTCTGGGGTAGGAGTGGTGGACAGGTAGACCAGGTGCTTGGCCCAGACATAGCTTCATCAGGGAATGGCACTGGGGGACTTGGGGACTTTTGGCCAATCCCACACACACCACTCTGCACCCCACTCCTTGCCCTTGCCCTGGCTCTAAAGCCACCAACCACAGTGCCACTAAAGCTCACACCTGCCCTTTGCAGGCTGGCACCTGCTCCACCCTGTGCCCCTCTCCGTGGTACCAGGCCGTATGAGGGGCGACTGACTCCCTCAACCCGTGGCCCAGCCCAGGAGATAAACAGCCCTTCCTTGGGGGACCTTGGGAATCATTCTGGCTTAAGCAACACTTTCTTCTGCTGCCTCATACCTACCGTCCCACCTATGTCCCAAGCTCTGCTCACACCACCCGCATCGTCCCTGGGCTCCCGGGTAACACTTCACACCGCGGCCATGCTGGACTCAGGGCCACCAAAGTCCTGCCCTCTTGCCAGAATTGCTGTGGAGTGTTGGGGGGAGGGGGCATCAGGGACTGCCTGGGCTGGAGGGAATGACCTGGGCCATGCCACCCGCCCCGACTCCAGCCTCCCACCTCCCTCCTTCCTGTGTGATTTCCATTAAAATCTGTTGTCAGTTGGCCCTGCTTCTGCAGGCCACATGTTCTGGGAAGGGAGGAGAGACAAACATACAAGAGCAGGCGGGGGAATGGCGGGGGGTCCCCTCAGACACCACCTCCTGATCTTCCTCTGGGAGCCTGGAGCCTTCTGGGGCACCACGCCCTGAAGATGCCCCCGACCATGACAACAGACGAGGAAGAGTCCCAGGCACAGCATTGAAGTGGCCTCCCTGAGTGGCATCAGCTGTGGATTCCAGAGCCCTGCTGCTCCCACACACTTCGGGCCACCCTCGTCCCTGTCTGCCCCACACTGGAGGGAGATACAGGGGAGCCCGCACCCAGCCTCATGGCCCATGGTAGCCACGGCCCAGGGACTGAGCTTCCATGGCTCCGACACTGCTACCTTCTCCCGCCCCGTCCCCACGGCCCTGGTGTGGCTCTGCCCTCCACCCTGCCCTGTGTATTGCAGCACTATCAACGCACCACCTCTTGTCATACCCAATTGTTCCTGCTGTGGTTTGGGGAATTTTTTTATTAAATAAAATTTTTTTATTATAACTGTAACGTATGTTGAGAACATTTGGAAAATAAGACAGCCACCTGATGCTCATCTGTGCTCACCCCTGGCCCAACCACTGTGAGTATTCTGGTGGATTTCATTCTGGCATCGTTGTGCACAGGTTGAACTGGTGCATCTTGTACTTGGTTTCTTTCTCTACTTGGGGGGTGGGCACTGGGGGTGGAACTCAGGACTTTCGCTTCCGAGGCTGGTGTGGTGCCACTGATCTAAATCCCTGGCCCTGGTTTCTTTCTCCTTCTTTTCTTTTTGGTACCAGGGATCGAATGCAGGACCTTGCACTTGCAATACAGGTGGCGGCACCACTGAGTTAAATCCCTGGGCCCTGGTTTCTTTCTCTTAACATAGTATTGTAATCATTTTGTGTTGCTGCCTAATCTTCATTTTAAGTGGCTGCTTATATTTCATTAATCAACTGTGCCACAATTTACATAACCATCCCTCATTTTGTTCTTAAAGTTAGGTTTCTTCACTGGAGGTTCAGTTACTTTCATCTGTTTCTTAGGAGTAAACAGAAAAAAAATCAGAGAGAACTTTTCTTTGTGCTACGCCTTTCATTGAACTTATACCTTTCATTCAGTCCCTTATCACTATTTTGAGGCAGATAGGATTTATTTCCATTTCTCAGAGGGAGAAAAGGGCAGAGCGGGGTTAAATAAGTCAGTCAAGGTCACACAGCAACTTCAGTGGCAGAACTGGAATGGGAACCACGTTTTCGGACTCAAGCCACCTTGTCTACGTTGCAGTCTTAGCTCTTCACGGCTTGTCCTCCTCCTCCTTCATGCACTTGAGAGCCGGTCGTGTTCCGAGCAGCACTGGATGACACACTGCTATCTACCCCTCACCTTAGAGACTGTGTCCCGACGTCACCCGGAGCCCACAGTATGGGGTCCTTCCTGGGAAGATGCTGCTCTGTGCTGCCCAGCAGTGGGGTTGGCCCTGAGCCTCTCTCTTCCCTCCCCAGGGTCCCTTCCATGGTGCGTCACGTTCAGTCACACTCAGTGCTCAGTCACATTTGGTGTGACTCACCACGAACCGTAAGCAGACACATGAATGTCCATTTGTTCTAGGATCGGCCCAGGGGTGGAGTCTGTCCAGGTGGGCGCTGACCCTGAGACTCAGCCTGGGGCACTTGGTGACAGTGGTCTATTTCAGCGGGGGCCAGCTTTCCATCGTCCACCCTCTACCCCAGCCCCCTCTCTCATCCCAATGAGACAGACACACGAGCCACAGCACAGAAGTGAACTTGGGGTGTGCGTATGCAGTGCCCGCTTCTCTCTGCTTCTAAAATTCTCAGACTCTTTCAAAATAATTTTAGATTTATAGTCGAGCCACAAAGACAGCACAGAAAGCTCCTAAATATCCTTCATCCAGCTTCCCCTAATGTAAGATGTAACATCTTACATAAACACAGTGCCTTATCAAAACTAAGACATTAACATTGATACAAGCTATCAGTAACACAAGAATTCACAGGGATCTTAGGAGTGTTCCCAATAATGTTCGTTTTTTTTTTGTTTTGTTTTGTTTTTTGTTTTTTTGAGACAGGGTCTCACTATGTATTTGAGACTGACCTGGAACTCACTATGTAGCCCAGGCTGGTCTTGAACTCACAGCAATCCTCCTGCCTCAGCCTCCCGAGTGCTGGGATTACAGGCATGCGCCAACACGCTTGGTTCAATGTTCTTTTTTAAAATCCAGGGTCCAGTAATGCCTGCAACGGCCCAGAGGGTAGAATCAGATTCCCCAAGGTCACACAGGGAACCAGTGGTAGAACCCAGTGGGCAGCTGTGGCCCTGTAGGCCCCCTGCCCTTCTCACCCTCCCTGCTCTGTCAAGAGACAGGAGTTTCTGCTTTGTAACGGACTCTAGCACCACAGACACTGGTGACCCCATCTGACTGCCTATCCTTGTTCCCATACCCATCCATTTCTCCAAGGCTGCCCATCCCGGGCTTTCTTGGGGTGTCATTCACATACACATGTGCACATCCCAAGCAGCTGGCTCAGGCTTCACTCTGTGGGCATGTCCCTGTCAGGCCGCTCCTGTCCACCATGAAGACTGACCACCCATTTTAGCAGCATCCCTCTCCTTTTAGGAATAAAGGACACCCAGAGTCTTTGTATAAGGTTTCTGTGTGTGTGTGTGTGTGTGTGTGTGTGTGTGTGTGTGTGTGTGAGGATCTTACCACATAAACTACAGTTTAAACTGGCCTTGAACTCACTGTATAGTTCAGGCTTGGCTCAAACTCACAGCGATCCTCCTGCCTCAGCCTGCTGAGTGCTGGGATTACAGATGCCTGCCCAGCCTAAGCCTCGTTTTTGCCTCCTTTGCTCCCTCACTTTCCACTCTGACCCGTCTCTTCCTCCCAAACCCCTGAGCAATGCTACCTCTTTATTGTCTCAGCCAGCACTGTAGGAAGGAGCCTCCAAGACTTCTGCCTGTTCTATTGCTTCAGCTGCGGCTCAGAACAGGTCTGATTGCCCACTTGACAGGAAAGGTGTGCTTTCCCCCACCCCCTTGATAATGGGGAGTGGAGCCGCGGTTTGTGGCAGCCTCTGTTCTTCCAGGCAGTTAGGCTGCCTGGTGTTTATCTTAGGACGCCTCTGAAGCTCCCAGAACCGGGCCCAGACATGACCTCACTCTCTCCATTCATCCCTGGGAGGTAGAAAGGAGTCTGTAACCAACGCTGCCCCCACTTCACAGATGGGAAAACTGAGGGATACAAACACACACGCAGCAGATATGTTGATTGGCTGCTGTGTGGCCGCGGGGTCCTGAACCCTCATTCAGTCCAGCAAGTTCTGTTGTTTGGGGCATGGGAGTTCTCAGAGCTGCACAGCCAGCAGAGATCTGCAAGTCCTCAAAAACTTGTGGGCCCACGAGGCATACCCCATGACCTATCCCAGGGCCCTGGTTGCAGGAAATGTGCAGCCAACATCAGTATGTGAGAAAGACCTAGGGACGCGGCTGGGGCTCCTGACAGTGGAGCCCAGCTAGAGGGCAGCCAGCCTTCATGTGGGAGCAACAAGGCCTGCAAGGGCTCAGCCTGGAGAGTTGGCCTGGCGACCGTGCCCATGCTGGACAGTCCACACAGTGCTGCCCTGGACACCTTGGTTTCCCAACACCCTGTAATAAGAGGGTCGTTATGGCCTTGCTGCACAGATGAGGAAACTGAGGCCACAATTACCCAGGGGTACAGACCAGCCAGTCAGCAGCGGTGGGCCATCTGGCTTGAAGTCCAAAGCTCTTGTCAACATCACTAAGCTTCTGTCCCCCCTCCTGTCACCAAAGGGAGGTGCACACAGCCAGCAGGAGGGAGGAAGGGAAGGCCTTGATGATGCGGGGAGCCCAGACTTGGCTTGCTTGGCGATTCTTTCCAGCTGGCTCTGCCTTCTGTCCTGACAGGAGGTTAAAGGAAGCTCTAGGGAGGAAAGGTCGGGCTAGGAGAGAAGCAGGAGCCGCCCAAAACAACCCACACCCTGTTCCCTGTGTCCCGGCCCTACACGGACACAGTCTGCAGCAGAGGGGACCGAAGCTGCGTGGGAAACAGGGTGGGGAGGGGGCTCTGGTGAGGACTGGGCCACTGGCCCAGTCATCCCCATCCCAGTCCTTCCTTCTCTCTCCACTGTCACATTTTCTGCCCCAGCCAGTCATTTAGCCCTTAGCCTCCTACCTCGACTTATGACATGTCTGTGTCCAGCTCTCCAACTAGATTAGAACGTCCAAAGCCACAGTCCTGCGCCTGTGACATTCAATACATTTTAAAGAAGTAAGGAGAAATTTATCTGAGAAGCGATCATTTCGGGCAATGCCCTAGTCTCTTCATGATAAAAGCGGACAGTGGGGCCAAGCAACGGGCCCGGGCCCCCGTGACGTCATTTATCTTGTGACTCTACAGTCCGCGAAAGCGCCCAACACCCGGCAGTCCGGATGACGTCACCGACGGGACTCGCACGGACAAGTACGCTCAGGGTGAATTAGCGATGTTGGCGGCGTGAGGCGCCCCAAGAGCGACTGAAAGAGAGAAAAAGAGGGGTTACAGCAGAACCGCAGAAGTGGGGCGAGGGTCCTTAATGCGCCGGCCGGACGCCCCGCCCCCTCACGAACTGACCCCGCCCCCTCGGTGACCTACGCCAGCTGGCCAATCGGCACAGGCCGCGGTGATGCACACCCTATCAGCTTCCGCGTTCGCGCCGGCCCGAGGCGGGGTGGGGGCGAGGGTGCGGGTGCGGGTGCAGGAGCTCACGCTTCCCAAGTTCTGGGATCCTTG